TATCTCACTGATTGACAGTCAAATGTAGGCACCGTGAAAGAGAACTCACTGGTCATCTTTTAAGACCTAACGAGAAGTCAGGACACTTAGCAAAGTTTTCCCGTCCCTAGACTAATCAGTGTGGACCTTATAGGCTAAAATCCTTCTTAACGTGTGAAAACATTTAAGTTGTTGGGCACTCTACCTAAGCAAAAGATATCCAATTAGCAATACAAAGGCGTTGACCATCTCCTAGATGCCCAAGATAGCTAGGTATATAAAGTACCAAAAATACAGACATTTTCCTGCAATCGAATAACAGTGAAACCAATCACTAATAAATATGCGTTTCATTTAACAAATTTTACAAACCAGTTCGAGGTCTAAGCCTCAAAAAGTAGAAAGATTTATCGTAGATTTCCGCAAAATCTATGCAAAACTTGGAATAATTGGCACGGTAAGCTATAGTAGGAAGGGCACTTGCTGGTAGTGAGTCTACGTAGAGAAGAGAGTTATGAGACATAATCCGACAAGTGCAATCTCCGAACAATTGAAGGATATCTGAACGACGGGGATGGTGAAAAATGTCCGCCGACACATGAAATTTATCGACTCCCCGAAATGGAAAGTGAATTGTACAAGAACTCCCAAAGGGGGGGACAAATGTCTTTGAAGACATTATTAGAAAGTGCAGCTGAGAAAAGGAATAAAATTAAACTCCCGATGCAGTTGGAAATGCGCAAACCTAAATCACCGGAGCAAAAACTCGTTGAAGTAATATTACACAGACACTCAGTAAATATGAAATAACTGTGATTGTAACAATTGCAGAATTTAGATTTCTTATCCCGCAAGAAGAACTAAGAGTAAAACATTTTAACCTGGTAGAAGGTTGAAGCTAATTGTACACTTTATTAATTAGCTGTAAAATATGCCTATTTTTGGGAGCATTGGTATGTTTAAGAACATGTTTAGTTTGCTTGAATTAATTGTTTATTTGTTTTTTTATAGGTTATTATAAATTAGGATGAATTTAGGCATCGTTTAAGGACAACTCTGTATAACATTTTCGTTGGAAACATTCTCAAGTAATTAAAACTTTAAGCACTTACGCAGCAATCAAGTTATCAAAATAGACTGAGTAAATAACGCAGTAGACAACTTTATGAAGCAGCTGTTGAACGGGGTGCACACCACTGGTGCTGGCCGTTTCCAATAGCACCATGAAATCAACCAACTCACCATTTTTAGACCTATTAGTAGTACACAGTGAAACCGTGTTCATAAGCCAAAAACGCAGAAATTTGGTAACCAGAGGGCAATCAAACGACATTCTGCGAACTATATCAAGGCAACATTTAGTGCAGTACCACCAGTAATGTCAATGTACTTTCACTTCAGTCTATCAATTGCGTCTTCGAGTTGTCAAGCATATGTCCACAATTCCAATTCTAATGGTATTTTTAAACTAAAAAAAAAAATGCATGTCCAAACTCTATACACGTTAGCGGTTAAGGCTGTAAGTTCTGTTGGAGAATGATGTAAAGGCCTATGCGCTACTTAAGTAGTAATGCACATGGGTGGTTTTTTTGTATCATTTTGTCGGAACTTCGTTCGAAGGAAAATATCAAAAAAATGCACAGCCAAATGTACTGTCACATTTCAAGGAACTGTAAGTAATGTGATTTGTTTGCAACAATAGCGCCTTTTCATTAGCTGAAACTGATGTTTAATTGATATCGCCATGTTTTGCCAGCACATTTCGATAAACTTGACCAATTTGAGCTCACAACTATCAAACTAACAAAAGTCGCACTAATCAAATTATGATTATGTAGACAAATTTGGCCATGAGTCAGCTCTGCCCCACTTATTCACTTTCTCGGCAGATTCAGAATGTAGAAGAGGCATATCTTTGTGCAGCACTTTGCTAGCTAGTAATGCTAGAGGACGCTCTCATTAGAAATGCTGTAGACTGAGTACTTACTAAAACGAGAGCATGTCGCGTGTAAAAGTGAATGCCAGAGGCGAAAAATAATTAACGGTTTGGATCAGCTGCATCACTATAGCAATTCTAAGATGGTAAACAGTAGTTAAGTAAGATTTAGAGAAAAGCTAACAAAAATAACGCAGGGAAAACGTGTGTGACTTATTTACAATTACGTTACAAACACTTAACTCAAAAGTAAAGTAATAAAGAGGGAAAAAAAAGCAGTTTGTAGATGTAGGTAGTGATAATAAAGTGTTGATTGCAAGATTGTTGATTACCAAATGCCCACCTACCTAAACTCTCTCAAAGGCAATCCACTTCGTCTCCATCATAACGGCACAACAGCAGTGCCATTAAAGTTGCATTGACAGAACAGGATGGTTTTCACGTTTAG